AGAGTTAAAAAAGTTCAACTGTGAACTGAAAATATTGTTGCCATAAGCGGGATTTGAACCCCGGCCTCCCGCTCTGAGAACGGCTGCTCATCTCACTGAGCTAAAACACAGCTCAACCGGGCAAGGAAAACTAGTGACCCCACTGATAATGTGGCAGAAATGGGCAAAAAATATTACATAAAAAATTCAATATCTCAAAAAGTATAGAAGTTATGAGCACCAAAAGTCATAGCAATAATTAGCAGAAAGAGCAGAAAGTTTGAACGGTGCAAATAGCATGAAAACTGAGAGAGTAGTTAAGCAGCAAAAAACGTATGGAAGCAACCAGAATAATAAAGAATAAAGAGAAACAGGAACTCAATAGTGTGACGCAACTAGGGATGCGAAGTGAGACCTGGTTCCCAGTAGTCCAGTTCCTTGGAATTGTTAGTCTGCTTGTCTGTCGATCCCATTTATCAGTTCCAGTTGCGCTACGATCATCTGATTTTATTTTGTGTGTTGGAGAGGGAAAGTAGTGACGCAGTCTGCAGCGTGGATATGAACTTTACTTTTATTTTTATTACTTCGGCTCTCTGCAAGCACCTGCACAGACAGCGTGCTAACACTAAGCTAGCCAAGAACGCAGAGAGAGGAAAAAACCCTAAACCCACTTACTGGTTTAAGTGGAGGTCTTGATCTGATGAAATCCAGGATCAGTTCATGAGCATTTCTCTTCACTCTAGTAGGAATATCACCGTCCACCTGAATAAGCCAGGAAACAATGCAGAGCTTACTTCCTAAGTCTAACTTTTGTCGAGATAGACAGAAGGCTAAGATGGATAGCAGCGACTATTTTTTGGCCTCTTGATCAAAGTACATTGCAACATGTTAAAAACATCAAATAATCAAAGCAGATAAAACAGACTCCACACATCCAGGAGCATATTCTGGAATCCAAAGCGGCCTATAAACTATAACAGAACATTAGAAATATCCGACTCTCTCACCATACTATACTAATTATAATGTATAGAAGTTAAATAGAAATTGTAATCACAATCACAGCACATGCTGTAATCTGCTGGTATTTTCAAAAAAACTGCAGCTGCTGCCAAAACAGCAGAAGGCTGAGAAAGGCCTTTATTAATATTTGCATTGTAAAGCTGAATTATGCATCTGCCTGTGGAGAAGGCCTCGAGATGATTCACTGCCACATGCATGCCTCCCATACAGCATTTTCTTTCTGCAGTGAAGCCAATTTACAATACATGCATGATGCAGTAAGGTGCCTGAAAAAGGCCTCTAGTCTGTCTGCCCTGAGATGACTCCTATCAAGTTTCCAGTGAAAACATTTCAGAGCTTTAAGTGCTTACTCTGCAAAAACACCTCCACTGATTTCAGCTTCTTTACATTTCACCACCTTTCACGTCCGAACTCTCACCATAACTTTGCGTAGCTGGAACTTGCGAGCTCGTATGTCCTGCATGAGCATCTCGAACGGCGTGAGGCTGAACTCGGTGGGCAGCGGGTTGAACGGCTGCTCCTGCACCTTCTTCAGCTTCACTCCCTGCCTGAGCTCCTTCATCAGCTGCACCCACAGACGGGCCTGGCATTAAGCAATACGCAAACAACAACACCACTCATGTGCATGTGTCAGAGCAACAACACTGCTGTCCTCCCTGTCACAGACTCAATTCTCCCCTCACCCAGTCTCTGTGTTTCAGAGTGTCCAGTTCAGCCGTGGATCTGTCTTCCAGAGATTCCTCTGATGAGATCTTCTTCAGCATCTGGGCAACAAAAACATTTTTTTGTAAACAGCAGCAGTTGTCCATGACGACTGATTTTTATCTCTAAAACATGCCCACATCCACCTATAGTAAGTAAAGCAGGTCTAATTTGTTTATTTTGATTTTGTTAATTGACATCTACAGACAGTTGGAGTAATAATTTTACTGTTCGTCTTTGTTTTGCGGTGGATTTAATACATTTGGATGCGTTTCTGATCATTTCTTCCATAACAAACTAGGGCTGGGCTATATTATACCGTTCACGGTAATACCGGTATAATGTTAGGAAATAAGAAAATGAAATATCGCAATAGAATATGGGTAAAACGCGCATGCGCAGTCCCTTTCTTTTCATATGCACATGGTGGAAAAAGCCTGTGCTGTGCTTCAACATAATAT